TGAACCGCTCACCAACTGTTAGTAAGGCTGATGAACATTTGTAGATGTATCAAGTTTGAATGATTTGAAACTCTCAAGGTTTTTAAACTTTTCTTTTTTTCCCAAGAACTAATTTATTTTTACTATAAGTACTTCGTAAACATCAATCGAACCGTTCGACCACCAAAAGCGATTTAGGTTAAATGTCTACTAGGTATTCCATGCAATACAATGAAATAAGACGCAATCAATATAACCTTACCGAATACTTTCTTTTTACGACATTGTGAACTTCACATGTAATGCTTTAGTACGCAATAGAAACTTTGTTTACTTCAATTCGCTCTAGGGTGTGGTAAAGCATCTCTCTACTGTGGAGATTTCCATTTGTAAGGACTAACTAACTTTGTCTTCTGATCGTATCGTACGTTATGCTGTACAAAACACACCGATACAATGACGCGTATAAGAGTGGAAAACACATAGGTGCCGAAAGTCGAAAAGTTGTTTAATATTTCAAAGCTTGAAGGCACGGCCAAGTAAATGTTTTAGCAGAATTCATAGAAACAAATCAATACGTGAACAAGTCCTTTTCATGGAGGCCACCGTGAATGCTTAAAATATGAGTCCTACGCATAAGTCTCCTCATACCGAACTTTTCAATAATGTGCAAATATATAATACTTTGACGATAATTCTTGTATCCACACTGCCTACTAGATTTATCAGTTACGTCCTTAATAGTAAAGTTAACTCATATGATACATAGTCAAGTTTATAATATATGTTATTTAGCTATGACAATATTATATGGCGACAGCTATGATCAGTTGGCTGTTTATAATAATAATGGTACACCTAGCTAGGTGTCTTGCGTTAATCGATAGTATCCTTAAACGATTTTTCTATTTTTTCAAATAATTTATTAATCTGCCTGCGTATGATATCGCCCCAAGTTCTGACTTCATGTTCAGACAATTCAATTACTTGGGCTATTTGAATCCGGTCAAGAATTTATGGCCTAAGCCTATCATATCCTACTCGTCCTACTGAAAAATAAAGTTATACAGCAGTATTTACAATTCCAGTGCACGGTTTGAATAAATTTAATGATGTTTTGTTAAGTAATTAAGTGAGGACTTTACAGTTTGTTGTGAACAAAGGAATTAGATGTAGGCTCTTATTGAAAAAGAAGACCAAAATGTGTTTGTGGTACAGCAATTTGTCGAGAGAAGGATGATTGCATAGCTTTAATAATTTATATATCAATAGCATAATAGGGCCATGTTAATATTATGACATTTATGATATGAATGAAGAACTGAATATAATTCATACACGTTTCTTCACCTGTCTCCCACCCGACAGATAGTCACGTCTTACACCGTACAGAAGACATGACTATTTGTAAAAAAGACTAGAAAGAAGGTCTAGGTAAGATTTCTTTCGGGTCAGTCATTGTCCGATGTTTACACAATGCTGTGTAAGCACATAGCATACAAATGGCATAGTTCCTCATGTTGGTATGTCTTTTGCGAACATCTTATTACAAATAAGAATCACGTCGATTATATATCGATATTGTAAGTTAATATATATTTGTCATCAACAAGACTAGATATATTCATAGTCATTATTGGATATTTTTAGGCACGGTAGCTTTCAGAATAATTTTCTTTGCAATACAATCCCCATTGCAGGGGTGATGGCTGGGGTTCTTTTCTCAACGTTTCTATGTTGCGTCGTTCTCCTATGTGTGGCATTCTATTACCGACGAAGAGTGAATAGACTCAAATCTGAACTTGCCTATGTGACCTATACGGCGGAACGAATGACCCCGGAACATCATCTAGATAATTCAACCTATCAGGCGAACTATCAGGTAATTTCATACTAGTGACAACTCAAGGTTCTCAACTACGTTCGCTGCCTTCATTCGTCGCATTTACCTGGTGACCGTCTTCGTAAACAGCTTTTAATTTACAAATCTCTATTATAGGTCTTTTTTGTAAGTTCGGTTCGTTCGTCATGGAGAACGTTTTCTCTCCTGTGTTCTATTTCTCAAAGCAATTAAGTATGCTCTGTTGACTTTTAGGAACGAAAAGTAAATAGGGTATTTTCATTGCCTTAAATAGACGAGGCCTCGCAGGGGGTCTACAGTTTGAAGATAATGTATATTTATTCGTAATTCAAAACGAAAATATTTTTCTTTATATTTAGGCTACCCCCGATTGCGGAGCGGTGAGCAACGTTCAAACTTTGCTTCCGAATAATATCAAATTTGTGAACAATGACCTTTCCTCGACGAACAGTTTTACCTCAAACAGCATCGGAAATCTTCCCGTAGGAATCGGTGCTGCTGGACCTTCAGGTATTTGCGCTTAAATAGTTAGAGCTATATACTTGCACTGAATCTGGATACCATACGTTTCAACATTGCACCATAAAAATATACGATTAGTACGCAGGGTACTAATTGCAATAGCGTGTAAATTAGCCTTTTTGCGTAATATTAGCATGAACTTGTTAGGTACGGTTCTGTGGCTACTGTGTAAAGGTTCAAAATAAAAGATCGAATTGATTCTAAGATTTAAAGCGTCATGTGGGCTATTCCCTACAAGCAAAATTCAGCGGGTATTCGATCTGTGATACACGTGAATTCAGCAGAATCCAATGCTGTATCGTGTTGTAATATCTCTTATCTCTGCTTGATAAGGGATTCGGGAATTGCACTTTGTTATCACTTTGAGACATTAATCATTTTCAATAATGTACTTTCACCATCTATACGGTGGATATATAATAATGGGGAAGGGAAAAAATTCATTCAAAATTTCAGAATCTCAAAGATAGGAGTCAAAAGTTCAGCGCAGTCCGAACAAACATAGCGTCCCACTCGTTGTAAAATACATCATTCTTGTCAACAACGCATCTTATGTAGTTGCTTCTGACAAGAGTTTTATGAATTTATTGGCATAGTACGCTGACATACCCGTTACTATCAAGGTTTACTATAGGTAATTATTTACACACGAAATCATCAATCCGGTGAAGTTGGCAAACGGTGCGCAAATGCTTGTTTTGCTTTGTCAAGCAAAATGCAATTCGTGGGCATCGCAGTACATCTGCCATTCAGAAGATGGCTTCACATTGTGCAGCAGAACTTCACGCGAACTAATGGCAGATGAATAATACATTTTGAACTATCCAATTTGGCAGTAAATTATTATAAGACATTAACTTCACCTAATAATAAAATAACAGTTCTTAATCGGAGGAAGGGCATATCCTCCTGAATTTCAATGATTGATTGATTGATTTGTTCGTTAAGTTTTCAGCAACCCAAATAGCCCCACTATTTAGCGCAGGTCAGGTCATATGGGCCAATTTATTGTGATTGAACTGTTTTGGCCATCACAGTTCGTTAATTTGCAGATTGCTAATATTATATTCTCCACTTTACATGAATGTCCCTTTACTCTATACATCATATAAAGCATATTAAAGCATATGTAGAATGTATAATAATAATTTTTCTATTTTCCGTATATTACTATAGCTTAAGCTTAGACAAGACAAAAAAAAACATTAACGAAATAGGTATAGTACGCTTTTAAACATTTGATGTCGATTATGTTAATTGTCTTCTAATGTTCCATTTATATCAAGTGGTAAATGCTTGCAATAAATGTCTGAAAGAGGGATCCTGAATTGGCAACTTCTTGTTCATCACTAGCTACAGACCGCGTATCTTTGAAATCTCTTGCAAGCTTATAGCATGTATCGCTGTTACCTTCTTACGAATGAAATCCTCTATGTCTGGCTGTTCGAGAAATCACTTTGCAACTTCTGTGCCATATCTAACTAGAGGTCCCCTTTCCGTTCGGTTTTCGAAAAGGCGAGCTAAGAATGGCTCAGGCCTTACATACATTGTCTGCCATTGCTTTCCTACTGATTAAAATGTATGGAGCCAAAAAAGTAGTATTGCACAGCAGGAAAACAACAAGAAGGAAATGAAAATGATTAATTCATTTGCCTTTAGCGTACGCAGATATTGTAAAACAATGGGTATCCTTTATGGTGTCGCTTGTTTGTACTTGAGTGTACTATATACTAGAAAAAGAATGCTCAGCACGTTACTCGGTTCCGTTTGCAGCGTACGCAAATCCCTTCTTCTTGCTTGGTCGATTCAAGCTTTGTTGACTATTGAGCTTTCGTGTTCGAGCAGGTACTCCCTTAGCGACTGATTGCCTTCGTTATGGTTATGGAGTTCAGTTTCGTGAACGCCGTTTCTACTGTCTGAAAGATTGTGCCTGCAAATAATAACGTTTGTGATTTTTAGGGACTGATTTAGGTATTAGCTAACGTTTAAACAGTACATAAATATAAAATAAACTTTTTGTCGAGTGGTTAAACAAGCGTCGCTCTTGGTCCCTGGCATAAAATACTGTTTAAGATAATTTATGGTTTTCGTTTCCAACCATGCCCTAGAACGGACACGTTATCGCCCTGGGGATCGTGCATGCTTAATAGTGCATGAACAGCTTCGAATGTTATCGAAAGTTCTTCAGGCCAAGTAGCAAAAACAGGAAAAGGTATCTTGCAATTGAAATATTGGTTCTCTTCCAACTATTGTGAGAGAGAGGTGTAATTAGCCGGGTAACGGGAACTAGACATACGTTTCTTCACAGGCATGCAACAGCACTTGCACACATGTACAAATATATACAACAAAAGGGCACAAATATGTATCTGCATATGACCATACTAGTTACTTAAGTAAATATACTTTTAAAGAACTCGGTCTAAAAAGCAGAACAGATACCTAGAAACTGTAATTGTTTTCTTATTGTACGTGATTTTCTATTATAATTTCCATGTTGCATGTAGAGGTACGTTTATGTGAGTTGTCCTTTACAGGCGTCCAGGCTGTATGTACATTAAGCCACACAAAAAACTCGAACGTGGAGCGAGCAAAAATCGGAGAAGATTCGTACTATGCCACCATGGGAAGAGCCCAGCATTTCCAACAACAGCAGCGGCATGGATCAGATGGAAGCGGCGGAAGAGGCGGAAGTAAAAAGGGCTGTTGCAGTACAACTCTGCCCCGTTCTGGCCAGCAAGGGACATTTGGCCTGAATACGGCTTCAGGTGGCGAAGAATATGCCGCTAGAAAGAGTAAAGGTGAATGTTATGATTGCTTTTTAAATTAAAATGATTTAATTAATTATAATTAAATTAAATTAAAGCGAAAATTAAAAAAAAAAATGTAAAAACTAATGTTAACTAGAGCGTCTATTTTGGGTATCGTTTTGGGTATTTATAGGGAATACAATTCGTGTAAAAAAGTAAACTGACTGTACGTGTAGACTTAACGTCTAGGCGAATTTATAGCATTTTATTTTTGATTTTTATATATTTTGCTTTTGTTATTCGTAAAAGTAGTTTCATCTAAGTAGCTGAGTATTTACCGATATCTTTTTATAAGGATTAGTATAATTGACACAAGAAACTGGTTACTAGTAAGTTTATTGATTTTCCGAATTCTTACGAAGTTTGAAGACTTTGTTTTAAAGGTAGAACACTTTAGAACTTGAAGTAGACTTATATAAATAGAGTCCAAGGAATCTGAGACGGCTATTGGAAGGTTTATACCTGGACGTAACAGTGCATAAACATCAGGTAGATAATAAAACAAAGTATAGGAAATATCTTTCAAAGCTCTTTTGATCCCTTTCATACCGAGTGCAAATCGGGCGATTTGGTCAGTTCAACAAAACGATACCTCATTCATTATACCTTCCAGACAATATATACCACAAAAATATATCAGTACATAGTCTGGCCCAAGTTTCCAAGCCCATTAACTTCTTTCAGCATCTTTAACTCCTAAAAAAATTAGTGATGAGTGAGATAGGAAAGAAAAAGCAGATTTTTGCTTGTTTATGTTTATCACGAAGCTAGAAAAACTGGGGACAGAAAAATATTTTGATAGTCCTCTTATGGTAGACGTTTCTGTGGTGACATAAGTCGCTAAAACCAAAATCTTAATGTTAACACTGTGTACTAACTATGGTTTCTTGACGAAATTGCACATTTTATTTAAATATCGTTCATAACGTTTTTACAGAATTGGACTTCCGGCCTAACATTTACCAGAGCATTGATGACCTGAAAACGTTGACAAAAGAGCCATTTTATTGCGAGGTCCGGGACGGTAAATCAACGATGTCAAAAGATGAGGACATTTCTAACCAGCTGGAAGCGTCTAATTGCGCGGCAGGTGAGGGTGAATGCTCAAACGCGCGCGAATCTCGGCAGCGGGGCAGCACGAGCACGCTACGTAGCACCGATGGTAAGAATCAGAGATGTTTTGATTAATCAATTACTATATTTAAGAAAAGTGTGACAAAAAATATATTGTATTTTAAAATAGATTAAATTCACTTTATTCGTATATATTGATGTTTCATATGGATGAATGGACGGATTTTTTTTTGTTAACTGTACCTATAATTGGGTAATTTAAAAAAACCGTGTTCAGAAAGCCAATAGTAGGTTTTGTACGCTTCTCGCAATCTAAATTGCTTCTCTGTTGTTGAAAAGCTCTAACTAGATATTATCTATTTCAACAAAAAAACTGTTGGTTTATAGAAAAAATTAGTTTATAGTATATATATATATATATATATTATGCAATAATTGCAATTTTTTTTCAATGTTTCCAGAGAACAACGAATATTCATCGAAGTTAACATTAAAAGCGGAAAAATATTACGGTGTTGTTCTCAAGAAGGGTGAAGATCCGAAAGTGTAAATAATGTTATCCATGCTAGCGTTGCCTGTAAATACTATCTAGAGAAAACGACAATAGATATAGACAAGGTATATATAGATCAAAACAAATAAGGAAGAAGATAACTCTTGGCTATCAAAAAAAAAACACTCATATATTCGCACGGCCACCATATTTGTTTGACGCACTCACACATTATTACTATTAGGGTAATATTAAGACATTATTTAGCAGTCTTGATCAAAAGTAGAATTTAGCTGTGCTTAGTACAAGCATAGCTTTCGTTCGGAACTGATGCATAATGTAATTCTTTGATGTAAGTACCTGTTTTTTTCCTATGGCTAGAGAAAATTCAGGATAGCAGTTGACGCTTTTTTTTTTCGACGAGTGGAAGAAGTGCGCATCGTGCGAAAAAAAAAAGAAAAAAAAAAAGATGTTTCCTATTTGTTCACACGTAACGCGATCCATCGGGCACATATATGTAATAGGCCTAGACATTGTTGCTAACAATCGCTCTGCACTTCGCTTCCGATTGTTTTGCTCAAAATTCGACAAGTCACTAGTGTGTATACACGTATTGAAGCATGATAGGTCAGTTGCAGGATGACACTAGTTGAAGTAGCTAACGGAAGTGGCGAATGATCTGTAAATACTATGGATATAAGAACGACGGTGTTTATTATTAGTGATCAGTGTGGCAGAATGAGAGAAGAGAGAAAGCTCAGAAGAAACAGGGAGTGATGCTAATTAGTTAAATCATTCATTCATAATAACATTAACACAGTAAGACCTAACAGTTGCCCCGTTCTGTTGGCGTATTGAGTGCATTTAATAAACTGTTCAAGCTAATTGCAACTCTAACAATGGTTGTATTTTTCTTTGCAGCATAAGTATTTATATCTTGTATGCAAATATTTATAGATGTATTTCATAGAGGACTAGCTTATCGCGAATGAGAACTTCTCGTTGGCATGTAAAATAATCGCTTCTTTTCGCTGCAGTAAGCTGAATTTTATCTACTGTTCAATAATACAAATAGAATGAGAATTTAGCCTCTTCAGTCTCTGGTTTTGTTATGTTGAAAATGTCAGTTATATCTAAATTTAGTCCAAGCTACAGGGTACAGAATTCTTTTTGAGGCTAAGGATGCAAATATAATAAATTAAAATTAATAGGTGACTCTAAATAAAATAAGCATGTGAAACATTATATCACATTGACAGCACCGTGTCAGATTATGGCCTCACACCAGTAAACTTCATTACGCCAGCGGATGCACTTGCATAATATAACTCATGTGTACGGTCAAGAGCAAAATCTAAAGTTTGGTAGGACTAGTCCAGAAAAGACTAACGATACTTGCAGCAGACGCCAGTGTAGAAGGCTCAGTGACCGAGAAGTTGCTCATGGCCCCCTGGGGCCTTTAAAGCAGAATGCAAACATCCGGGTGATGCATTAACGCTCGCGAAATGTCCGCGGTCACGGCCGCTGAGATAATCCGGCTAATAATATGAGACGTAAATAGGGTAACGGCTAGTTGGATTTGCCTCGCAGGCAGGACCTGTTAAGGGTTAGTGGGACTAAACCCCCAGCTCTTATTATCATAGGCCATTAATAGTGCGTATTAGCTTCCATAAACGATGCATTTTCATCTGAAAGGGTTAGGCGTATTTCATTGCATGTGAAACCTAGGCCTGTATATACAGTGTCTAAAATACTTGCGCGACACCCTGTTGATATAATGGGTCAAATTCGTTACTTACGGTATATAAAATTTTTTTTTCAGTCTACATAGCATTGAACAAAATGTGCGTTGAATGTAGTATTCAGGTATACACTAATTTGTACACATATCCCATACATCTTGTCTGTGGGTTTTATAAGCAAGCTTTCACTTTGCTGGCTAAATAAATCTATGAATGGACAAGAGTTTTTTTTTTTTATGTTAATGCTGTACGATTGATCGACTGGGTACAAAACAATTCGTTTCCTGAAAAAAACACTTACACTCTTGACGGCAAACGATTGATGAGTGCGATTCAATTTCGATGCGATGCATTATTAGATGTAAACTGTTTTAGATACAATAAACCGTACTAAATTCAGGTGTTAGGTCAAGGATAACACGCGTAATGATAATTTTTTAAAAGAAGCGGCGCTGATCATCTAAGAAATGATTATAATAAGCCGTTAGGATTCGGTAAAAACAATTTCAATTAAAAACTACAGCTCCACATTCGTCGAACGAAAGTTCTGCTTCTACTTTTGCTACCGCTAATAAATCAAGCCCGGGACGTCTCCGATTGGCTGACTTGATTGAGTCCTGCTAAGAACGCCACACTTTAACTCGTTATCCAGCGAATGCAGCTGGAATTAAAACTGGACTGTTCAAACGATCGAATGAGCAATCGATCAGCGGAAACAAATATGGTCGAGGTGTAGAGGGAACGGCGGAATCAGTAAGGAGACAAAGCCATATCCACGTGAAGCAGATTGGCGCTGATGACGCGTATCAACATGGATGACTCAAGTACTACAGTGACATTGCTTGTGAACTATTTCAGCTTTCGTCGTGACGATCTATACATATATATGGCTCGAGATTAAACTTCAATATAAAAGCTTGTTTCAAGTACTTGAAAAAGGAAGTTAGGAAGGAAAATAGGTGAAGACTAAGATTCCCTAGCATCGATATATATAGCACATAAAATATAGCGATACTGCTTATGCTACTACGAGCACAAATTCTGACTATAAAAAAAAAAACAGGCTCTGCAATAGTTACGCATTTGCTCGGTGGTAGAGTACAACTGGGTATTGTGCTGATGCTAGAAACTTGACAAATCGGTAAGCCTTGAAAATCATAAAGCAACTTTTTTAGAAGAAAGAAAGACGTTATTATTCAACCTCGATGACTCACAGAGACCTCTATATACAGGCATGTCTTTAAGCAAGTTAATCTTAAAATGCATGAGATAGATCATAGGTGGCAATACATGCTTTATTGAACTTTAACCCTTCTATACAGTCATTTGAAAAAAATGTATAATGACATATATTTTTAAGAGACTATAATAAAGCTTTAAAATGGTCCTAGGGCATTAGCGTCAGTGATGATTAATTTATGTAATCTTGGACCCAAAACCGTTTCCCGTTTCTGCTTATGCCAGCGCTCAGTTACTGGGTTAAAATGATCCGTGAGACTCCACAGCCATCTCCAACCCCCGTGCTTGCCCCCTCGTGGCTCGGTTGAGTTTTCTAAAGTATTGAAACAGGCATTTTATTTGCAATAATTTTTTCTCCTTTCGGCCATTATGACGCTAATTGCGACCGCGAACATCTCACCAAGACTATACTTGTGTCGAGCTTTTATGTGAACATATGAGACTAAAATATGTATCCGGGGGATACGTGTGAGGTACTTTTCTTATGTTCTCATTTAGCCTTAAAATGGTGAATATAGACATATGCATGGTATTAATACGCAAAAAAAACAAGGGCACCTTTTAGTTGTAAATGGTATGCAATGTAACAGGACTTGAACTTGGAATTCAAGCATATCGCACAGATCAGTCAGATTTAGGAGTTCTTATATGACAAAATAGTGTATTCGTCAAGCAGACTTTCGATTTAGCCACATGGACCAATGAGGGGCTCAACACTCACAAAGGCTTGAAAACAAATAATTATAAAACTAAGATTCAAATTCGCGTATCAGGCTTTGGTTGTTGTAGCTTTTATCTTTAGTCAAAGAGCACTTGGTCTTAACAAACCAAAGATCTTTACAACACAACCATGTCAGACTATTTTTTATTAAAAATCATCTTACTGCTCCCTTTAGACTATTGGCAGTAGAATTTTCAGTACTCAATTTCTATCGCTTTCTACTAACTCCAAGGAGGCTCAGCCTGAGCCTATACATATAGCTTGTCTATAGGCAAAATGATACAAATTGAGATTCTATATTCCCCGATACGAATACTCACAAGAAGGTTACACGGGCAATTTCTCATTTCTCCATCTCTCATCGCTAGTATCACATTCCATTGAGCAGGTTTTTAGTAATAAAGGCACGATCTGGACATGTTTGGACCATTTACTTGGGCTTTCGCTGCATCTGCTCTCACTTTGGTTTTCGAACTAGCTTTTTTGTATCATTTTCGTTTATTGAGGCTTCCCCCTTGCATTTCTCTCACATGATGTTCGAACGGTTTCTGAGCGCTCACCTTCTTGTTGTTGCGCCTCAACCCCATCAGCTAACCGAATCGGGAATCCCTTAGGCAAAACGAAGGCAAGTGGTTGGAAGCCTGAAAAGTGAAAATGGGCCTTTGCTGCGTATTACTTAGAGCAGCTGGCTTCCGCTCCACTATCTTCGGGCAAGCTTGAAAGTTTAAAAAAATCGGGTTTTTACCACACTCAAAATTCCTACGCTCGGATATCAATATCTAAACTACTTCTCATATAATTTACATGTTAATCCTTTGTTATTTTTTGTAAAAGTTACGATAATCTAGGGTTGCTGACTGTAATTGATTAGGTTTAGCGCTCGAAAATCGCAAAAATGCTAGTCGTAAAAAATAGTAAAAAATGCTAGTATATTTCATAATATTCATTTCCAAGATTTATCGTTAATATTACAGCTGATCAATTTTGTGTTATTTTTGAAGTAACATTGTGTTCTTTCGGTACTTTAGATAATTTGTGAAATTTGTAACGACCAGCAAGCGCACCTTAGGATATCACGTAGTCTCGCGAAACCTTGTTTATTAGTTATTACGATTACTGAAAAACAAGCTTCACAATGTGGATCTTCGGTCCTGATAAATAGAACGATCCACAGATAAAGCCTCATTTATTCGGTTAACAAATATTTTTTATATAGTATATAATATACTAACTAGCATTCCTAGCGGACACGACTTCCAGGTTAACCTGTTTTTTTTTCTGGGAGGGGGAGAGTAGTTACCGAGGTAGGGTTAACCAAGCTTAACATATTATTTACGGCATGGCAACGCCGTTTCGAAGTAGCTTAAAGCAATTAGGGATCCTGAAAAAATGATTAAAATCAAAAATATGTTAACAAATCCTATATATATAGATAGGACACTGCACCCAAATTAGATCAAACCTTGGTAGTCTATGTAATATAACGGGCGCACATTCATCTTCTACTTCTAGTGCAAGACGGAAACCAGTTCTCTCTACAAAAAAAACAACAAACTCAGTTATCGGAAAGACTAGTACGCGGTTTCGAAGCTTGAGTAAATATTAGCCATCATCGAATCTTACGGCGCTAAACGAACCCTCATTAAGATTATAAGCTTCTTTTTTTGCTCGAAATCGACGGTTGACGTTATCACGAGTTTCCATGCGGCTTCAGAAAATCCAAGCAAGATGTTAATGAGATAAAGCGAAAAATCCTCAGTAGAAACTAGATTTTCAAAGATTCATCAAAGGGGCTTAAGAAGCCGTTTTTGATACACCTTTTTTCTATAGAAATTACAGCCGTTTTAAGAAAGGCAGCGTCAATTGCTAATTGGGTTCCTAAGTTCCAATGGTTAGACTTTTTGCACCTTTTTAAACCTTTTGGCCGTTTTGACTCCTTGTATTTTGAGACCTTTGGCCTGCTATTGGCACACAATTTAATTCCGTTAGAAGCTTTTATACGTGGCGCATTTAGGCAACACTTTGGCTAGTTCAGAACTACCAATATTGCTTCACGTCAGGCCTTTATTGAGAAATTGTACGCAATGCCCCTATTAGGCAGAAAAGGAGGAGTGTTCTGAAAACGACTAATTAATGGTTTAGCTCCCAAATCGAAACTGTAATTGCGGTGGATGGTAGGTATATTAAGGCAATTAAAGAAAAAGGA